AATTTTGGTTATCATTCTCCTCTCTCTTCTGTTCTTAAGCTGCCAAGCCAAATATTTTCCTGGTTTGTTTGCTCCCTCGAAGGATTTCTGCTGTAATTTCTTTAAATTCCAATAGAGTTCTTGGTTCATTGTTACATTCAGTTGTTCTCTTAACAACTGTAATTCTTTAATGATAGACTTTTTCCCAGGTTTTTTCTTAAGTTCAGTTTCTTTTTGGGCTATTTTTTCCAACATTTCTGATTGTTTTTTAAAATTTTCTTTCTTGCATCTCACATTTTGCGAGATGAGAATTCCTCTCATCACCGCTTTGTAGGCATCCCACACTACCTGTACCGGGGTTTCCTTGTTCAAGTTTTGTTGAAAATATTGCTTGGTTTTCTCCTTCAACAAAACTACTACCGTTTTCTTATCCAACAAATCTTCATTTATTCTCCATAAAAAATATTTATTCTTTTCTTTCAAACTCCACAGTACAGGGTTGTGATCCAAATTACATCTTGGCAAGATTTCAATTTTATGAGTGTTTATAGATAATTCCTCTGACATCCAAATCATATCAATTCTGGAGAAAGAGCTATGTCTATTGGAATAAAAAGTAAAATCTCTTCGTTTCGGATTCCATTTTCTCCATACATCTTCCAGTTTTTCTTGTTTGGTTAATTCAAAAAAGGTCCTTGGCAATTTTCCACTCTCGTTGCCCTTTTGTGATTGTCTATCCAAAAGGTCCACTGTGCCGTTAAAGTCCCCGGCTAAAATGACTTGGTTAAAAAATCCTATTCTGCTGAGTCATTTGACCATTAACCCATTATTCTAGAGCAGGGGTATCAAACTCATTTGTTATGAGGGCCAGATCTGACATAAATGAGACCTTGTTGGGTCGAGCCATGAGTGTCAAAAATGTAATGCCAGGTAGTGGAGATATAAACTTTATAAAGGACACAAAGGGTATTTTTAACTTAAAATAAAAACATGCTTAAACCATTAGCACTCTTGCAATATTTTGTTTATTTAACAGTGCCTGATAACTGCCACCTCTTGCTCTGAATTACTGCATCAAAATGTCTGTGCTGTTGCAATCTTGAGTATGCTGTTCAAATGTTTATCTGTAAGCTGCAAACCTACTTTTGATTTATTGACATTCACTACAGAAATCTCATGCTCAAAGTTCTGAGCCTAGGACCCAGGGGAAAACATGAAATGGATGGGTATTGCGAGTTTTTGTACATAAATTGCTTCATGTGTTGCTCAAAAACACGAGAAGGCACCATGACACAGACTGAGGGCTATGTGTTTGTCAACAAAACTATAGTCTTCCTCAGTAGTCAGTATCAGCCTATTATCTAGGAATTCTAAGTTTAAAATCTCCAAAGGAAATGTGCTGGGTGAACTTAGTCTGGACACGCCCTCTCAGCCTAATACACCTCACTGGCTTGTTGCTATTCCTCATCTAAATAGCCAGTTTGGTATAGTGGTTCAGTGCGCAGGTTCTAATCTGGGAGAACCGGGTTTGTGACCTTGGGTCAGTTACAAGTTGTCTCAGAGCTGTTCTCTCAGGAGCAGTTCTCGAAAGAGTGCCTGTTGTGGGGAGGGGAATGGAAAGAGATTGTAAGCTGCTCTGAGACTCCTTCAGGTAGTGAACAGTGAGTGGGGTATAAATCCAATCTCTTCTTCTTCTTCTTCTTCTTCTTGCTTTCCTGATGAGCAAGACTGGATCATGAGGGAATGAATACAGTGAAAAGGGGGAGGGAACCCAGTTGCACCCAGGAGAGCCACAGCATAACAAGCCCAACAAAGCACATACATTGTAGAAAGGTACACAAAAGCTCATACCTTGGATAAAACTTTGTTGGACTTACAGGTGCTTTGTATTTCTCCTGTGCCATTGAGGCAGCCAAGCAAAGCAAGCTCTCCCTCATTCTCTCCCTCTCTTCAGGGAGGAGCCTCAGCCAATGGAGTGGAAGAAAGGCTTGCCTTTGTTTCCTGTGCGATTGAGGCAGCCTGGCCAGGAAGCAAGTTCTGGCTCATTCCCTCTCTCCCCTGGGGAGGGGGAGGAGCCTCAGCCAGTGCAGAGAACAGAAGTTTGCCTATCTATCTCTCCTGAGTGATTGAGAGAGTCTGGCAAAGCAAGCTACGATGCAGCAGCAGCAGAACTGGAAGAAGAGGCAGGAGACAGCCAGTCCCACTGCAGGCCTGAGAGAAGCCCTCCGAGGGCCTGATTTGGCCCACAGGCCACATGTTTGACACCCCTGTTCTAGAGCATTACCTATGTGTTAATTAGCACCAACCCCAATATCAATATATCTAATTCTCAACATGAATACTTAAACCCAGAGACTGGAGCCAAAGACAGACATGACAGATCTTTTTGTAAGCCTAAATAATGCCCCAAGTTTGCAGTCAAGTCTGAAATCTTAAAGAAATGCATGGTGGTGTTTTTTTTAAAAAAACAACCCAATATCATAGAAGTGGCACATGTAGCTTTAACAAATGAATACCCTCAGCAGCCATTGCTAGGCAACTACAACGATGTTACTAACTTTAAAGCCTTGGTTTCTATCAGTAACAGGTACGTGGTAGTGTACCATACTAACATAAAGTAACCTGAGGTACTATAAGTTGTATTTCTGGTAAAAATTTGCATTGTTGCAGCATAAAGCTTTTTAAGTTCACGCTTTAATAATGTTTATTGTTACAACACTAAAGCTTGAAAGCATATTCAACCTCTTTTAAAAATCTGCAAGCTTTCGGATGGAAAGCAGAAGACTTTCAACAGCCATTTCCCAACAGTATCAACCACCCCTGTTGTTACAGTGATCCATATGCACTCTCACATCTTTCCACACATTTGCAAGCTCATAGGCTATAACTTCTCAGAACACAACTAGTCTATTTATATTGTCACTTCTGTAAACTAAATGAATCAATTTAAAACACAGAACAATTGTTTGAAAGATATAAATTCTTTCCGCTCATGAATTTACAGTATGCAGGTTTTGAAACCATTACCTTTGTGTTTATTCCAAACATTAATTTGGTCCTCCTGTTGAGAGATACAGTAGAGACAACTGGAATTAGCCTTGCAACAAGACTCATTTCTAGTGTACTGTATGTATCCCCAAGACGGAGAGGAAAGCCAGCACCACAGCACTGTTGGGATAAACTGCAAGTGGGTCTGTAGTAGTTCAATGTCTGCAGATGCTGCTCCACTAGTCAAGCTATAAAAAGGCTCACAGAACTGCAGGGGAGAGGCAGAGCTAGGCTACACAGTACTGCCACCAGTGTTCCCTCTAAGCTGAGTTAGTGTGAGCTAGCTCACAGTTTTTTAGCCTCCAGCTCACAGATTTTTGTCTTAGCTCAGGAAGGATGGCTCCAGAGCAAACTAATTTATGTAGCAGCCAAATTGCTTGCTCACAACTCTAATGCCAGTAGCTCACAAAGTAGAATTTTTGCTCACAAGACTCCACAGCTTAGAGGGAGCATTGATTGCCACCACAGGGATAATGACCCCCAAGCTCAGAGACTGGTAGGGGCCAGATCCAAACTTCCTTCGTCACATTTTGGGTGTTCCAAATTGTGTAGTATATGCAGCCATGTGTTTAGAAACTGGGTTGAGTCTCTTAGAAACAAGAGACTGGCTTCAGAATCAGATCTTGAAATTTTGGCCATGTCTCCACTTTATATCTGAATACCCTGGTTTTGTGCATATTATGTTCTCTTTTTCAAGCAATTGGTCTGATTTTGTGGAAAATCAAGTCAATCAGCTTGAATAACTTTTCATGTTGGAGAAAAAACAAGCTTTTAGATTGTTACACCAGAGATTGTTGGCTATTGTGAGACAAATTCTGTACTCATTAGCTACCAAGACATGTTCCCCAACTGGATATGGTATAATGCCTGATTATGGGGCTCCAGCTGCTTATTTCTTGCTCCTCAAATCTCTGCAAATCCACAGAGATTTTATGTTTGCCAGGGTTCAATGTTTTGCCTTCAGCAATCCTTTATGGTAGACTCTTGAGAACTCCTCATCAGGAAAGAGCTGGAGCTCCTGAATTTTTATCTCATCTTTTGCTTTGTTGTAATTTTATACTGCATGGAGAAACAATTTAATTGGCCCCCTTTAAGGTAAGTTTAAAGGTTACAATGGCCCCGGTCAGACGTGCTGGAAAATGGGGGGGGGAGCGCGGCTATTTGCGCCATCGCATTCTGATGCGCCATTATGCGATCAGACACGGCAACGACTTCCCCACGGCAAAGAGGATGATGGGGGAGAAAGCCGTGTGCCGGTGCGATTACACCCAGGGAGTCCGCATGCAGCCCGTGCCAAATAATTTGCCAGTAATTCGTCCCAGGTACTTTTTTAATGCGCATCTTCGGCAGGATGCCACAGGTTCACCACGGGTGTGCAATGCCTCCCAGATGTTCCGGTGTGATTGCGTCCGAAAAATCCACGGGACTATCGTGCCTTCAGCGCAGTAAATGCTCCATGTGAATGGGGCCAATGACAAGCAATTAGTTTTATATCTTCTGTCAGACCAGAACCCTCATATCACTAATCAAGTAGCTAAGTACTTCCACAAGACTCCAGGAATTGATTGTCAGTATCTCTGGATAATTCCCTTTTCCCTCCTTCTTTAAATTTTATGAATATTCATTTGTGTAATTTCTTAATGTTATCTGATCTGGCTACGCAATCTGTAACAAATGCCTACTAAAGGTTTTTGATTTGATTTGACTGGCAGGGGCCTAACCACCCCACTCAAGAATACTTTTCCATGGAGATGTCTTCGGACAGCACTGGCTCTTCGGCTTGGAAATGGAAATGAGCACTGCCCCCTAGAGGCAGATTCAACTGGCTTTCAAGCAAGGGAAACCTTTACCTTTTTATTAGATGAGAAAGGTTGAACAGAAAAAGAGAAATGTTTAAATTTGTATGCCAGCCAAGCAGTTTTAGTAAACTGATATTAATTAAAATCAAACAATGTGAGAATTCATATACATACCCGCTGCTTTTCAGGATCCACATACCGAATTCCAAAGTAGTCTTTTTCCAGCAAACTGTAGTGATTGCAAACATGATCTATGAGAAACTGACCTTTGGTCTCTCTCTGAAAAGAGAAAGGACACATATAGTAAGCCTGTACATTATTCTTACAGACATTCTATTTGCCCATAAATGGCTAGCAAATTACATGTTATGCACACCACATTACAGAGGCATGGACAGGATTTTTAATAGCTAGCCAGCTATTATATCATTTCCAACTTTCCTCCAAGAAGCTCAGTGCAATAAATGTAGTTCTTCCTTCATTTTTACCTCTCCTTTCCTTGACTGATAAACTCCTTTAACCAAAAGTCTTTAATCAAAAATCAATAAATGAAATACTAAAACAAATTAAACATTAGGAATGGATAAACATATGAAACTTTATTACAGATAAAATAAAATAAAATTCATCATAACACCTTAAAGAAACCCCAATTGCCAAAAATTTGTCAACAGAATGAGCTATCAACATCTGCCAGAAAAAGGAGACCACCCAAAATTCAACAGGCTGTTTATATGTGTTCAAAATAGGCATAATTCAGAGATTTCAAAATAAAACTGGTTGATCACAGAATGAAACAAGAAGATCTATGGTCTCAATTATACCTGAAACACAACAGCAAAAACTATCCAAAAATTGAGTTTTAGCAAAGCACTCCCTCAGTTCTGCAATTGGCAAGACATGTCTGCTAGCATTGAGGCATGGAAGTGGCTAGGACTGGTGAGAAAATTTAAATATGAGGGAACGGTTAAATGGGAGAATCCCCAATGCAAGGAGAGAACATACAAAACTTACACAAGGAATATACTAACATGATCAAGAGCAACTATCCTTTTCCTAACCATCCTCAACACTTCATGGTAGCCCATATTCCCAACCACAGGAAGAGAAAGGCCAAGGGAACCAAGTCTACTGTCCACAGACATCTCCAAAACACTTCTAAAGGTGTCTTCCCTCAACAGATGTAGGAGACCTCCAGAGCATTGGGCAATGAGAAAACAGCCTTCAACCTTAGTTTAAATACCCCAAATTCAAGCTCTAGACTACAATGAGAGGTGAGCAAACTCCATTCTAAATGCAGTTTCTGCAATACCATCTGACAGAGAAAATCAAGAAGTGGAAAATCTATGGACTCAGAAATTCCATTAATCAGAATACTTGCCCCAAATACAACCTGTGGGGTCAGGTTGGCCTTAATAGCTGTAGGTAGAGACTGCCAACCCTTAGAATTAAAAAATAAAAGCAAGCATTTATATTTACCTCAGCAATTTTTGTAGTTGAATTAACATGTGTTTTCCAAGCAAGATTATAACGAAACATTACTTCCAAATGTTTAAAGTGAACCACTTGTTCTATTTTTCCCACACTGATGGGCCAGATCCTACATCTGATATGTAAGCTTTTTAAGAAAGTCATTCTTTTAGATTTTCCTCAATACACCAATAACCCTTCCTGATTACAATAACTTATCTATCTAGTACATTTATGCTCCAAATTGTTCCCCAACTGGGACCAGAAGCAGCTTACATTTTTCTCCTCACCTCCATTTTGTCCTCACAACAATCCTGTAAGGCAAATTAGGCTATGAGAGAAAGTAACTGGCCCAAGGCCACACAGTAAACTTTGTGGCTGAGCAGGGACATGTATCTGGGTCTCCCAGATCTGTCTGATACTCTGACCACTATTCCACATTGGGTCTCATATTATGTTGCTTTGTCACCACTGTCTCTTCTCTCTATCAACACTGCAATGCCTACTTTAATATAGCTTTATATCACTTCAAGTTAAGGTTGCCGATCATGTTAAATGAGCTATGTAAAAAAGGCATACCAGTGCAATATTCAAATAAACTACAGAGATGCAACTAACTTGAATGGAAGACCTTGAATGGCAATGGCATCTAAAACAGCCATGAAGCCATGCAGTTGAGCGGATTTCTGTTCAGACTAGTTGCCTGTATATGGTACAGAAAACAAAACACTGTAATGTCAGTAGTTGGACCCAAAGGATCCATTCCGCTTATGACAGAGCCCTCTTCTGAAACAGTGACCCACATAATGGATCATTTTTTCATCAGAAGAAAGGTGTTTTGCCTGTGGTAGGCTCCTTGTGCTGGAGTACATTATTAAAGGAATGAAAATTTCGGGTCCAACCCATAGTTAAGTTCTACTAGACATTATAGTGAAAAAGAGGCACAAGTATGGGTTGCTTTTCTGGAACAGTAACACATTAGAGTAATGACTATATTGGTTCCCAGTTTCAGTATTCCTAGGATGGAAATTTCAAGGGACTAATAATGGCAGGATATTATTTTAAGAGCTGTTGTTCAGCATTTTATATATATAGTTTTTTGCAAAGCATGCAATGATTCAGTCACTTAACCAGAGAAGAGTCCATCAGACTACCCTAAACAGTGGACTCAACAAGCAAACCATTTTTAAAATCTTGTTAGTAAGCACTACACCTGAAATTGACATTTTGATTGCAAAGAGATAAACACAAGAGTAAGAATAGACAATGAGCTTTCCAGGAGTCACTCTCTAATCCATTCATTTTATTGGATTATCAATTTTCCTGATCCCCATTCACAAAGCACTTGAGTTAATTAGTATTATCATCAAGGGCTGAATGAAGGAATCTTTTTTTTTTCAAACCAACAAGAATGCTCTTTTTCCAAACCAGATGATAAATTAAAAAGATATTTGAACAATCTTTTGAACAGAGAATGCTATCTGAGATACGATTTTGTTTTCATTAGAAAATCAAATGCAATGATTATATAGCTGGCATACAGCAATAAGCACTTGAACCTATGGGAAGCAATTTTGTTTGATAGCTCCCAAATAAGTGTATTCTCTTAAGACAACCTTTGAAGGGCTATAACCTTCACACTGAGCACTTATCTGATTGCCTGAGAAATGCAGCAATTAGTCCTAAGCAACCAGGTATCCCAATGACTTCCATAATATGTAGAAAAGTAATTGCAAACAGTCTCTGTAGTAGCAATGCTGATTCTGTGAATTTAGCAGATCATGAGAGGGAGGACACGCAGGGTAGCATCGACGCTTAGTTCTTGTGGCCCTTTCTTACATGCCAAAGGGAAATGCCAATCGCCACTTTGGGGTCAGGGAACAATTTTATCCAGGCCAGTTTGGCCAGGGATCCTGAAGGTTTTTTTGTTTTAGTTTTTTGCCATCCTCTGGGCATGGAGCAGGGGTCACCAGGGGTGTGGGGGGAGGTAGTTGTGAATTTCCTGAATTGTGCAGGGGGTTGGACTAGATGACTCTGGTGGTCCCTTCCAACTCTATGATTCTACTGCCATATTTAACACAGGGAAGAAATGTTATGAAAGCTGTCTGGGTAGGCCCTGTAGGGCATGAACAATTGGCAGCAGTGGCATATAGATAATGAGGAACTGTAGGATGAGCAAAGTCATGAGTGGGTCACCATTCCCTGCATAGTTATTGCCAAGCCTAACTACACAGTAAATTTTGGTGACATCTAAAGTCTTGTGTTAATTTAGACAGGCTTCCTAAGATACCTTATAAGAGCCTCTGCTCTAAACTAAAACACATTAAACGTACCATGTTGGAAAGTAAACCTAATCATGGAATGGTTTCCTCTTTGATTAGAAAATGTTTAAAGAGAACTTTTAAAGATTTATCAGCTTGAGGAGATTTGTTATTCAGATTATTGCGTATCTCAGTTACCATCTTAAATGAATTCTCCCGGCCATTTTGCCTGGGAGAATGACGGATCTGGGCCGGAGCAAACGGGCGCGATCCCACAGCAACATCTGGGGAACGTCGTGCTACCTTCTCCGATCCGTCCCATCCCGCCCATACAGTACACTAAAAAATAACCACCTACCTGGGTGGTTCTTTCGATTGGGCCGCAGCAAGTGCCGCCGTGGGATTGCCGGCGTGTCCTTGCGCCGGCGCATCCCCGGCTCCTGGCCGAACTGTGCATGTTTGAGCATGCGCAGTTCGCCAGGCTCCCCTTTCCACCGTCGCATTCTCCCCGGCATCTGATCATGCCGGGGAGCTATGGCGCCGCAGCACGGGGGATCTGTGAGATCCCGCCGTGGCGTCTCAACTGTGATGCGGCTCAGATTAGCTGCAGTTTGACCGTCCTTTTCCCTGCCGTGTGGCAGGGACCACCATAAGCCTATTAACCAAAACCAACTTCTTCAAAATAAATCCCATTGGAATTAGTGAGATGCTCAAGTGGTTAAGACACTGAACTGCAGGCTGTGGAAGGTCGGTAGTTCAGCAGTTCAAGACCCGGGTGCCGCATGACGGAGTGAGCTCCCGTCTCTAGTTCCAGCTCCTGCCAACCTAGCAGTTCGAAAGCAAAAAACTGCAAGTAGATAAATAGGTACCACTTCAGTGGGAAGGTAACAGCGTTCCGTGCGCCTTGGTGTTTAGTCATGCCGGCCACATGACCACGGAAACGTCTTTGGACAGCGCTGGCTCTTCGGCTTTGAAACGGAGATGAGCACCGCAACCCTAGAGTCTGATTCGACTGGCTTTCGAGCAAGGAAACCTTTACCTTTACCTATATCCCAATAAACATGTTCAGGACCACATCACAAGATATTTTTGCAAATATTTCCTATTATCATAAGAAGACAGGCCACTTCAGTTTCTACATTACCAGTTCACAGCAATATCAATTGATAGTCTCTGTCTGCTCCTGACCCATTTCTCATAAGATACAGTTTTACACATGGGAGCAGTAGAGGCAGGCAGGTTAATTACATTGTTGAATAATCTCATTGAGCCAATTGACCAAGATTTCCCCTAAGAGAATAATCCCAGATTTTATAGTCATCCCACTACTGACTAAACTTTGCTTGCAACTCTGAGTTTCATCTCTCATATATGTTGCTGTCGCTGTCATATATGTTGTTTGGTCCTAGAGACCAAACTGCAGTATCTAAAAAAATGAAGTATCATTGCATCTGAACAGAGTGTAGATGGGAATTTTACACAGAAGTAGTGCTGCAGAGTGATCATTACCTATGATACACAAATTCATTTTCTGGACCTGGCCAGAAA